TTTCAGCTGCTCTTATACCTCATTTAAGTAAAATCTCAGGAAGATCAATAGTTTTGTAGTTTGAATTTTAGTGACGTCATGTGAAAACCAGCTATATTTCAAACGAAACGTTTTGCAGAACGCGTTGGTAGAGGACTTTGAGAATATCAGCACGCGGCATTTATTCCATACTCAAGGTAAAATTATTTCAGTAAAGAGATTTTCTGTTGTATCCTTCACATTGTAATCGGGTAGCGTAACCGAGTGCAACCTCATTCCCAGGCTCTCTCACGACCAAGGGAGGCAGAGGATAGAGAGCCTGCGAACAAGTTTTGGGACTTGAAATTATAGGACGTGGGTTCAACTCCCGTCGTCTGACTCCTCTCTCCAGTTTTTTCATGTTAGACACTAGTCCAACTCCTCGGTCGCTCTTCTAAATAGCCTGCTATATCATACTTGTTGCTAATGTTTGAATTCTTGCCCGACTTTCACTAGCGACGCAAGCACAAGCACAAGCACAAAAGCAAGCAATAAGGATGACCCAAGTGAAAACGAAATTCGACGCAAACAGAAGCAAAATCATCCGAACCTTCCGCCATTTTGGAAAACTGTTTAGGCGCGAGGTAATATGGATCCAGTGTTTTCATTGGCCAAACGGAAAAACTTTGATCCTTGTGCTTGTGCTTGCGCTTGCTCTTGTGCTTATGCCTGCGTCAAGGCCGTTTTCACGGTGCTTGCGTCGCTAGTGAAAATTAACCAGGCTTTAGTCTGGGCGGTTTACCTAACCATAGAAATAAAACTCCGTTTTCAAATTTATCCGGCGTAGTGTGGATGGGGCCCAAAGCTAGCAACTTAAGCTCCAGAATTAGCTCATGAGTTATGTCTTCCGGCAAGTTCACAGCGAGGGAAAATATCTACCCGGAAGCGCTTCAAATTTGGAGCTCTACAAATTTTAATTGGTGAAAAACGATTTTAACTTACAGTTAACCGTCTGTATTTAGACAAACAGCACTACCTCAATCCTGTGGCTCACAGCTTTTACTCAAAGTCCTCACAACAGAATGGGCGTATTAAACTATCAAACAAATTTGGTGCCAGCTAGCGCAACTAACGAAAAAATAACAACAAGCCGGCTGTATAGCAACTCAGAGAAGAGAGAAAACATGAACTTATCTGAAGCGAGCACAGCGGAGAGAAAGATTACGATTCGCCTTCCCAAAACAATGCCAACCAACACTAAGATGGGTATGTCGTTTGACGCTTGTTTATAAACCAATTTGAAATTCATGTTTTCCGAACACGAGAAATATGCTATTTAAAATGCATTACACTTCTCTCCTAATTTCTCATGAAATTGTTTTCTCCTTTATTAGGCTGCACAATTACAACGCGACGAGAAAAACACGCACTCCAATCTTCAGTAACGAATGTTATTTTTGCCCTAAATAAGTGCGTCTCTAACTTTGCAAGGTTTTAAAATTTTAACCCGTTGTTGAATTAAGTTATTGACAAAAATAACAAACACAGAGATAGATTGTACGTACAGGGTGATCTGATTGCAACGGTGACAGTTTTATCACGTCGAACTTTGATAGCATTTTACCTTTAATGCCATGCCATAGAAAATACAGCCAATCCGGATTGGCGAATCTTTGCTGACGTCATTGTTTACATTTTTCCTCATTAACATACGACTTTGCGCATAGAAGGC